GAAGAGCATCACTCCCCCGCCTGTTCCACCGTCCGTTCTGTCCTGCATACACACTGAGGACCTCTCTGAATAAGTTCAATTCATCTTTCCATCCGTTCTGAGCCACGTTTCTGTAACCGCTACAATCTCAACAGCCTCTGTGCTCTCAGTTCCGACCGTTTGTTCCCAATGCTAAGTGCATTTTAATACACTAGCGTTAGTCTCTTCTCACTACGGCCAATGTCAAATTTCTTCACAGAGGGTGTTTTGTGCCTGGGCCTCACACCCGAGCAGTCCAACCGTTTTTCTGTATAACGGTCACGTCAGTTTCGTTTCTAGATTTTCCCTCAGGGGTTTCACTCAGGGGGGCTTCTATGATCGGAGTGCTAGGCGCTGCGAACCCCTCTTCAATTCCATTTATTTTCAGCCTTGGCGAGCGAAAAAGAGCTGTGTTGAATCCTCGCATCTTACGTAGGGTGCTCCTCTTGGCATTTCCTACACTCGCCTGGCCATCGGCCTTTACTTGAATTGCTCCCCCACTGGCTAGCCTAATCCTCTTAGAGGCCGCTAAAAAGTGGTCTCTATGTCTAGGAACGCAAACTCGACCAGCGTGGTTCTGTACTGCCGCTGTACCTGATCTGGTGTTTGCTTTCCTTTCCCCAATCGCAACTCCCTCTTTAAGGAAACAGGTTCTGGATTTTCCACGGAGAGCAAGAGGTTCACCACGTGATATCTCACTGCCCCCTCTCTCTGCCTTCCCTCTTTTTTGAACGGTTCCGGGGTGCCATGTATGACCACATTCCTATATCTACCGAGCGCAGTGTCACCGGATTTGCTCAGCTTCGTAAGAGCTGTGATTAGCCTCTCAGTAGCCTCTTCTAGTGCCACTACTAAGTCTCCTAAGTCCAAATTGGCAGCGATTTTGGGGTTCCTATTTTTTTTGTTTTAGTTTCCTTCTCCAGCAACAGATATTTTCCTGCTTCCTCTAATTCTCCTCTCTTCACTATGCGCTGTTGGAGGCACTGGAGACTGCGCATCTAGTTCTCCTGCGTTGGCTTCATGGAGGGTTACCTCCCCCCGCACCAGGGTTTCATCCTCAGTTTGAGAGGAGCTGTTGACGCTCCTGCTAATTGTGTTACTACACTAATATAGAATGATTAAAGATTGAACGAAAGCAAGACTTATCTATCATGACAGAAATTCGAACGGTGGTGTCCGAGGCACCCAAACGGTGGCTTCTAAGGGAATAAAACAGAAAAACGAACAAAACGCTCATATATGGAGAATCTGAACTCAACTTAGCACTATACTCCAGTCCTCTGACCCAAACTGAAATTTGTTTAAGTGCTTCGATTCCTATGTTAATTGGCTGGGGTAGCATTTTGATTGCAGAATTGGCAGATGTCGTCGGGCTCTGCGCAGCTAAGGTAAAATATTTTTCACGTCCGAAGATGTTTTTAACGCACTCCATATTTTTAAAAGTTAAGTGAATCTCCATTTAATACTTGAAAAGTACAGTTATGATCATGCTTGCAGGCAGCTGATGGGTTCCAACCATATGGTATAATATTATACGCATGCATAAACAGTTTCAAAGATTAACCTTTGATTGATAATGTCATCAGAAGTTCAACTAAGCAGGTTAATTGTGCATTTTTTTGCTCCTGTATTTACGCGTTGGCATTTTAAGCGTGGAATAATGGTTATGAGGGCACAATTGCATTTAAGCGCGCCCATACACGATACTGTGCTGAACGACTCTTATGTTCGTACAACCATACATATATATGTATATATAATAGGTAGCATATGCTGCATTTCATATCAGATTGATAAAAACATTTATGTGCACTGTATAAAATTAGATTGAATCCCAATCCACTCCAGTCTTCGCGTTACGAATAACGGCCCTAGCCAATTAAGCGTCCAGATTATTGTTCTTGGTTCCAACTACTGCCTTTTATGAGTTTTTTAACGGTTTTTCTCAGACGAGCTGGAAAAGAGGAAGCAGGAAGAATGTCTTCCCGATGCATCAGTGAAAGAAATATTAAAGATATATTTTTTAACTAACCGCACATGGTTAGACGTTTTTTTTATTTTAGGCTTAATTTGAGTCACCGATTAAAAAAATACATAATTTTTTGACGATATCTGCATTGTTTACAGTACGTTGTTATCATGCAAATAGGTAATAAAAGACAAGTGTACGAGCCTCAAGCTCAACATAATAGCAATGCAAAAAGTTCTGCATCACGCCGTTGACGAAGAACGGGCCATCACTTACTGAAGTCTAGTTAGGTCAAAGTATGTTTTATGCATTCTATGTCCGAATTTCCTGTAGTTGAGGTTTAAGGCGCTTCAGAATTATACATTCTACACTGTACAAGTTTAATGCGCTTCTGGTTAGGTCAGAACATGTCGGGCTTCTCCTTGGGATTAGTGTGACGACCTACCGTATTTTGGTGATATCGTTTGTCAATTCGGCTAAAAAACCGGCCTGTATTAACTGGCTCGGTAAGTGGGCCATCCTATAAATGTACGCAAAACGAGTTACCGCATGACTGACAGCAACTTGTTCCGTCAACATCGACAGAAACCATTCGAATGCAGCCTACAAATCTGCTCTGCTCGTAAGCTCTCTCTGTCACGCATTCACTCCCCAGATCACACCGTACACTTGTAGGTATGCGTGAACCATTCCTATATTTATCTTGCAGCGATTCAATTTTTGACCGTTACTGGGATGCGTTCCATCTTCAGACGCCGCTTATCTCCAGTCTCAACACTCTTGGTTTTGCTCTCTTATGATCAGCAACGGTGGTTGCATTCAACAGTTACTTGTTTCAATTTGCTTAATTTTAAACAAAGATGAGGGCAATTCTGGTTTTATTTAAAGCTATTCCCATTTGCCTTTCTATTACACCATGGGTTTTACTCCTTTTGCTGTCAATCATTTTTAGTCAAATGCTAGCGTTGCCTCTCTTTCACTTTTCAATGAAAGCCTACCGGAAATGGACCATTGTTGTTAATGAACCATCAGCTGAAGCTTTCGAATCCACCAGAGGGTGGCTTGCTATTTCAGCTAAACCAAACTCTTGAAATTTGGAATTAAAACACTGGTTTTGGTCCAAAGCCTAAGCCAATTTAGTTACCCCACACACATGTCGCTTTAGTGATGGCTGTATCCACATTTGTCTTCATATCTCGCGTCATTCTTATCTCGTATGTGTGTATATTTCACACATGTCTCCATCACAATGAGACTGCACCTTGACCTGGTACTTCCATGACCATGCGACCATGCTACACAGGGTGGCGTTTTATAGCCACGTACCGGAAAGGTCAATGGGTAGAGGCCAGACAAAACTCAGTCTCGCAAAGCCAGCTGCTTGGGCACCTCCTGGCCTCCGTTGACTATCCACTGACGCCCATGGAGAGAGCATCTCTGTAAATAGACGCAATGAGGTGCATTTAACTGATAAAAGAATCGGCTAGATGTTGGTAGGAGCGAGGTACGTGGAACTTCCTCTCGACGGTGGAGGAAGTCTTCCCTTTGGATAGCTACCGCCCGCCAAGCCGGACAGCCCCTAGTTGATAAGGTGCTTTCCCGTCCACGTTCCGCCAGTTTCATTGGGTACGTGAAACTAAGGGCCAATCTCAAACAGCGGACGTCAATCAACGCACCGGAGAACAAAACCTAAAGACCTTGCGTAACAAGTCCCTAGAAGCTCCCATATGGGTGCTTCAGTCCTGCTTTGGATCTATGCCTCTGCCTTGTGGGACAGACGTTTAGGTAGAAGGTTCCGATAAAGGTTCCCAAAGAAAAAACCCTTCGTCGGTGGTTACCGCGAAGTGTATCGTGCCCCTAAGTCCTAGTCACCTTTCACTCCCAAACCTCGGGAAATGCCTTCTGCTTACGTCAGCCTTCGATTGTAGCTCAGTGTTTTACCAGTAATGTCAAATAAGTTATAGGATTGGTAAAACCAAAACCCCTTTTACTTAGTCGCGTTCAATGTTCGCACACTGTTAGATCGCTTAACAAGCTGCCTTATCTAGAAACCTTGAAACTTTCAATTTAGATGTGTGGTATCCCGGAAACACGCTTACAAGACCCCACCTCAATCATCACCCTGCGTTCTCCTGACCCAACCTTAACCTCATGCTTTGTTCTCCATGTGTCAGGTGAATCGGCATCCGACGCTAGCGATGTCGCTGTTGTTGGGATTGTGCTAAAAGCCACGGTCGAGCGTTCAATTATTGACTGGATTCCGGTCAGGAGCCGACTGTGTGCTGTACTCAACGGATCAGTTTCTGGCGGTTCACATGCAATCTCAGCCAAAAGGACGGTTAACGGAGATCGTCTACTTCAACTATATGCAAATCATGGACTGTTCCTATCAAACATCAACTTCTCCCACAAGAAACGACACCGCTTTACATAGGGACCGCCAGCCTCTTCACAGCAATAGACCAAAATCGACCATATTACCATCAGTTACTGCTGAAAGGGGTCCATTCAGGACTGTGGCTGCCACTAGTTAACACCTGTGGTTACAAACCCCTTTGTGTTACGGACCAAATTATCCTTACACCTGGCAAACAACTACAATAAAGTCACCGGCACCGGATACGCACGATTCAATGTTAGCAACACTTGCAAATCGGCCTTCGAAGAGAAGCTCTTCGATTGCCTCTCAGTTCAAACATCAGCCGCAGGAATCAATGGACACTGAATGAAAATAAAGGAAACCATGCAAATTTCGATAAAGACAATGGCAGACTCTGACGCAGGTTCAAAGCACAAACGATGGATCTTGACAAACTCGGCTACCTTGCGGGCATCCCGCAGAATCCTTCCTTTGGGTGCCACAAATGACAGCGCGCAAATCCTTCAAAGGAGTTTGAGGAGTGATCGCGAGAAGTGGTGGATAGCAAAATGCAAAGAGATACAGAAAGCCGTGGCCATCGGTTATAGTCACAGCTTTCAGTCCTATTATGAATACAGACGCAAGTAAGGCAATTGAGGAATCCGTTGTCACACTGATTCATCAGCAATGCTGTCCTGATCAATCGGCTGAACATTTTGAGTTTCAGTTCAACTGGCACCCGTTTATATTTGACCTATAATCCCCCACATCGACGGGACAAAAAATCCCAGTTGAAATCGGTCCTCCATCTGAAATGGAGGTTTCCCGGGAAATAAGTTATCTCAAAAGGCTGAAGTCCTCTGGTCCGGATGGGCCATTCTTATGGGCATTTAAGGGTGGAGGTCTGGTATTGGTTTTGGACTTCACGAAGCCCCTCGGCTGTGTTGAAGAGGGAACAGGTTTCAATTAGATTGTGTGAATTGATAACCATACCGGTTTCAAAGAAAGACGAACTTCCTTGTGAAAACCACAGAGGAATTAGTTTAATCAACATTGCCTTTAAACTTCTCGCTGGCGTCATACTCCGTCGATTTTCTGCTGCGCGTTAAAGGTGCACGCGTGAGAACCAGGCTGGTATCAAATCATATATTCACCGTTCACCACATTCTGGAGCATCGGCATTCTTTTCTTAGACCCATCATCTCTGTATTCTTCTAACGAAAAGTGGTCTTCGACTCACTCGACTGCTCTAAAATTTGGTGCTACCTTTCCCTAAAAGTTGTACCCCCTAGTATTTTATTTCAATAGTACGATCTGAAGCCGAGTTCAAACTTACGGCACTTTTTCCGCTCGAGTTCATCACGGAAAAGTTTTCATCAGAGTTGCCCCCTATTTCTATTTAACTTTGTTATAGATTTGATTATGAAAACAGCCTTATCCTCATGCAAGGATAGTGGCATCAAGTTTCTCCCGGGTGGCAGACTGTCTGACCTGGAGTATGCAGACGAGATTGTGCTGCTAAGTGAAGGTCTAGGGAAGTTGCAAGATTTTCTGGATAGTTTGAGTTCTGGTGTAGCTATGTATGGTATGCGTTTTGCACCTTCAAAGTGTAAAATGCTGCTTCAATATTGGGGTGATCCAGCCCCCAACCTCACCCTGACAGGAGAAGTACTAGGAGAAGTAGACAAGTTTTTTTATCTGGGCAGCTATATCACCTTGTGGACGCATAACAGATGACGTTTTGGCATGCGAACAAAAGGCTCGATTGGCTTTCTGCCAATGTAAGACATCTGTGGTGCCGTCGCGACATACAATTGTCTGTGAAGGGTCCAGTGCATTCTGCAGTAGTTCGGCTATTTCTGCGATACGGCTCAGATACCTGACCATTATGGAAACAGGGTAAACATAAATTGTCCGTGTTCAAACACCGCTGTCTATGCAGCATTGCACGAATCTGGCGGGGCAGTCGGACGAGAAATGCCGAGGTTAGACGCAGAGTTTTTGGTAATCACATTCGCCCACTAGTGCAAGTGGTCGACCACCATAGAGAACGTTGATTGAGGCATGTTATTCATGCCGTCAACTGGATTCCCGTTGGGCGTGATGTTTGCTGAGGCAGGTAATGGGTGGGAAAAAGTCGATAGCGATCCAACTGAGACCTAGAATCAAGGTATGAAAACCCTTTAGTGTCTAGGCTAATGATGTCCACAAATATGTGCATCGAACACCGGAAGAAGAAACAAACCAAAAGGAGAACGACTGATATCACGAAACCTCAATGACGGTTGCATTGTTATAATCTGTAGAACAGAAAGGGAGAAGGGTACAGGTGAGTAAGCGTGCAGAAAATGAAAGTAAACGTGCCGCGACCAACTAAATGGTTTTGGTCCGGTAAAATAACAAGGCTCAAATATGGAAAAGGTACATGTGCGGAAAGGATTAGTGCCTTCACTACTACCCGGATCAGGAGACTCGGTCACATAGGTTCCCTCTATGGTTAGAGACACTGAGTGATATGGCTGATTGTCGTAAACGGTGGCGCTCGTGCATAGCAGTGTTTTTGCAACATTAGCCCGCTGGAATTCTGCATTTTTCTTCTACTCTACTTTCAATTCACCACTCTTCCTTCTACCCCCTCATCCGAATGGGCTACCCCCAAAAAACAGTAATCAAAACCGCCGTATGAAAGAGCATGGTTAACGGTCGAACAAACTGAAAAGTGAAACTCATACGTCTGAATCCAGACTGTCAAACGAATCCATAGTGCCTTCATCTTTGTAAAAAGAAAAAGGTCCATAATTTTGTTGTTGGCGGAATACTGTCAGATTATCCAGGCCAAGGTGGGTAAATTTTACTGGGGAATTCTCGGCCAGAGTCCTTGATTAGCTAAAATTTGACCAACAGGGCAGCGGAACGGTGTGTAAAAGCCTCAAACTCGAACTGCATTTCACTTATCAAACCGCTGTTTTACTTCCACGGAGCACTCGCAATTTACCAAAGTTCAACTCTGAATACACATTTATACGTCATAG